TGTGTGTGTGTGTGTGTGTGTGTGTGTGTGTGTGTGTGTGTGTGTGTGTATGTGTGTGTGTGTGTGCCAAACGATAGGAGGTGCTTTGCAGCCGAATTGGAAAACAGTCAAATCAAAGGATTGTTACCTGATCGAAGGTAACAACTGTTCCGTCGGCAAGAGTGACGGGATCCCCTCGCGCCAGCTGTCCAATCAGCTTTCCAGTGACGCCAATCGAGGCAGCTTTTGCCGGATCTGGGCAAGCGCGCACAACCAATCAGACAACATTAGCTCGAGTTTGCAGCGAGCAAAGGCACCATCCAGCACAAAAAAACATACCGATGCGGGGTTCGTTGACAGTCTCTTCCAGAACATAGCCAAAGCACGGGACACGATGTACGAGTGGGTGTGCGCTGAGTTTGATGCCATCGATGATGCCAAGCTGTGGCACCAAGCGAAAAAAACACATTTAAAGGAAAGCTTTCAGCGACAGATCTCACCAGCAAGACTCTGCTCGTCACAAGTTGTGACAAATAGCAATAAGATCTCACCTCTCTCGCTTCGCCTGGAGTCAGCTCTGTAATCTCCAGCTTGTACGTGAGAAACGCGTCCGTAACTTCAATAGCCGTTTCGAGAAACCGCTTGACGCCAACCGGTCCAAACACCCGCACTGGCTTTGCGCGGTTGCCACCCAATGAGAGTGATGATAGCAAACCGGGCAAGCCGAGCAAGTGATCGCCATGAGCTACATGCAAGAGCATCAACCATCAAACAAACGCTGTGGTTAGCGTGCAAGGCTCAAAGTTGTCAAAGCTCGTTCTGCATTGCATGTTTTGCTTCTTGCGGCATTTACTATGTGTGATGAGAATAACGTCAATTCGAGTTGGCTTGACGGCGTCGCAAGCCAGAACGCGGTGTTGGGTGCCTGTTAAAAAAAAAAAAAAAAAACCAATAAAATAAACAACAACAACATCAACAACAAGCGACCGAACATGTTTCGATCGATAAGCAAAGGCACGCATTCATTCTCGCAAGTACACGAATCTTGCAACTTGTTTCGACACAAGAGCTGCATGTGCAGTTCCAGTGATGAAATAATCGGCGTGTGATGCAACTCCAGCCCATTCTGAGAATGGTGTGTGTGTGTGTGTGTGTGTGTGTTTGGCTACCTTCTCCGCAATCGAGCATCCAGACGCGGCCAGCGCGAGTTAGCACGCAATGGCTTGTGACCTGCAGTCGCATCGCAAGTCAAGCAGCGTGAGTCATCGCTTCTGGTGAGCAGCTCGCGATCGAGTCATCATTCACCATTTCACCAAGCCATTCGCCGTCCTGCCTTCCCTCTGCCTCTGCCGCCCCCTCCAAGAGCTCACTACTTTCAACGGTCAAGCAAAATAAAAGAGCATTTCACGCAGAGCGCAAAAAGCGTGCTCCCATTACATTGCGAGTGCGCGTCGGTGCTCCCGCCGAAGTGCCCAGAAACACGATCCGGTCCATCTGCTGTATCACTTGCGAGAGACGAGTAGACTGAGCCAAGAACCCGAAAACCTCAGCACTCGCTTGATTCTCAACCGACCGCTATTTGTCTGCATCCAAACCGGTCGTCTATCTCAGTATGAGTGCAAATGCAAGTCGGCTCAGTCGTCCTCCAAATGATTGCTTCCCACCTGCTGCTGCGATCGGCCCCGGCACTCTTCGGACGTGCGCGCGCCGCCCTCGCCGCAATGTCAGCAACAGCAACAGCAGCAACAACAGCAGCAACAGCAGCAACAGCAGCAACAGCAACAACAGGAGCAACCATCGCGGCTCCTGTTGCGGCCTTCATGTCGACTGGCGCGGCGGCGGGCGAGAGCTCGGTCGCGGACAAGTACCGCCTCAAGATCGAGCAGCGCAAGCGTGAACTCGCCGCTCAACAACAACAGCAGCAAGCCAACGGCCAGCAGGCGAGTGCACAGCCCACGGCGGCAGATGCACAGTCGCAGCAGCAGTGAGTCGCACATGGCAGCGCTTGTCTGAGCTCTTTTTTTTGCCGAGTTGCTCAGATGGATGACAAAAGGATCGGGTTTTTTGTCGCCTTCAGCAATTTGGTGGCTCAGTTGTCCACCGCCGATGCATTGGATTCTGTGTGTGGCTGTCGAGCTCAACATCATCTCACCCGAAAATCTGCATTGCTTTTGTGTTTTGGAGCAGACTTGCATGGGAAAAGGCGGAAGCGGAAATCGTGCGATTCTTTGAACGAACGCAACCAGGTTACGAGGCTGCCTACAAGGAGGTTGGTTTTGATTGAATTTGGTGGGAGTTCAGCTCGCGCGCCCTGAGCGATTTTTCTCGCGCTAACCCCTCCACCCCGCATTCCCCCCCCCCATCCTGCCAATCAGATCCAAGCGAAGGAAGCCGAGTTTGCTCGCGCAGAAGCTGCCCGCCAAGCTGCCAACGATCTGGTCGCACCAACTGCAGCGGCTGCCACTTCGACCTCCGCACCAACACCTACGCCCTCCGCCACACCGTCGGCAAAGGCGCTGAGTCCCGAAGCGCAGGCCGAAGCAATCAAGAAGGCTCCATTCTTGCCTTCCTACATGCAAGTAAGTGCATCACTGGGCGTTCGAGACCGGGTTTGAGGACTGCGCTCACCTGTGGTTTTTTTTTTGCAGCCGCTCAGCTCTCTCATTCCAGCGGATGTGATTGCGAACGGCTCTCGCAGCGACATCATTGCGGCATGGAACGCTGCACATCTTGGCAAGCCCGATCATTTTGCCTCAGTCATGCCGGCTGAAGCATACCGTCGTTTAACGAGCCGCAGCCGCCGGAACTCTCGGGTATGTTGCAAACACGAATGTCCAAGCTCGCTGCGAGACTGGGCTTTTTCTCACATGCACACACGCACACTCTCGCTCTACTCACCAACTCCATTCTAGTTTGTTCTACCGGTGCCTCGTGGAGAGGGCTTTGAGTGGATGGTCGCAGAGTTCACCAACGCCTCGCTGCTGTTCACCTCGCTCCTGGACTACCAGACGCACCAGGAGCACGCATCCTCGCTGCTCTCCGTGACCTTTTTCACCGACGGCGTTCTCGAAAAGCACGGCATTGCCCTGCAGCGTGCGTACGCCGACCACAAGAAGCTTCCGCGCGAGTTGGCGGAATCGCTCCTGAGGAACATTGCCCACGTGTATCTGGCGCCTGGCAGCACCGGTGCAGTCAGCAACATTGCGCTCGCCCGACGTGGTCAGGGCGCAGAGGGCCTGTACGGGTTTGTCGAAACGTTCAACCAGCAGCCCAAACAGTTTGACTTTAACATTTTGTTGGACGAGTTGAAAGCGCGCGGACTGCTGCAGTTGTAACGACGTCCGTCATTCTTTGAGCCACATACACACTCAAGCACAAAGAATACACGGAGTGAAAATGGAACCAAAAAAAGTTGTGTATTGATAGCATTTGTTAACAGGCGCGGGGAGAAGACGGCGCGTTATTACGAGTTGACCGAGAAGGAAAATCTGGCGAATAGGACGGCAGACAAATAGCCGGCAAGATGTCGAGTGAGTGTGCAGACAAAAAAGAAAGGCGGTACCAGAAGACAGGCAGACTACAACCAATACGACTTACTTGCACTTTTCGCAGTCGTAAAAGACAGTTTGGCCTTCGTCGACAGATCGCAACTGCATTGTTCGGAACATCATCTCTGGGTGTCCGCAGCTGGGGCACTTTTCGTTGATCTGATAAATGCGATGGCAAGTGAGTTGTCGCGAAAAAAAAAAAAAAAAAAAGAAAAAAAAAAAGAAAAAAATTCTTCTTCTTGAGCGAGCAACGCAACGCAATGTACGTACAGTGGCACCCTTGGTCTTTCCGACCTTCATTGTGTTGTACTTTGGCTTTTGGAAGGCGAATGGGTGAGAGTACGATCGCGTCACTTGAAGTTCAAAATCTGCAACACAAGAACAAGCGAGCATTTCGCAGCAGCGTGAGTGTAGACGACAGCTTCAGTCGCTTCAGTGATATGACTGCAATCATGTCATGGGTTTTTCGATGATTGGCAGCGTCTGAGTCGAGCGACGAGTGTCAGCGTCGATGAAGGGGGTTTGCGCGGCACATGTGGAGCATTGGCCAGAGCCGACTGACTGACTGTCCGCACAGGCTGAACCAAAAAACAAGCGCCCCCCCCCCGTTTACCCGAGCAAACTACACCTTCCCGTCATGTGCATGTTTGAGCGAGACGGCGAGATAGAGAGCGAGAGAGCGAGAGAGATCGAGATGGAGAGACACATGCGCGTCGTGTCAACTGGAGCGCGCCTCGTCGTACCTGCCATCTCGCGCGACTTGCCACACGCGTTGCACGATGCATAGTCGTCGTCCGCAGAGAGATCCAGCACGGTGCCGCAGTCCTTGCAGAACGGCAGCGCCTTTGAAGATGCGAGGTCGGCTGTTGCTGCACACATGCAACAACGCGTATCAATGGTGAGCCGACCCATGCATGTGCACTCGACGTTGAGTCAATCGCACTAGGTATCATAGTTACCCATTTGAATGAGAGAATGGGGTGAATGAATGAATGAACGAGATGAGTGAGTGAGTGAGTGAGTGAGTGAATGGAAATCTGGACTGAGTTGCTCAGAACAAAAATAATACTGTGTGAACATTCATTGCTGAATTATCTCCACTTACTAGTCTTATTCTGTGCGTTTCTCAGCAGCATCTTGGATTGCTGCCACTCTGGGGCTCTTGCGTTTTGCTGTCGGCGTTGATCAATCCGCATCTCTGTTCGTTCCGCCTTCTGCTCAGTCCAGTCACACTTCCCCTCTTTGTCAGATTCCAGCCTCAACTCTATTGAATGCTGTGATGCGTACGCGCTCGCTTGTCTGTGAGCATGGCGGTCGATCGCCATCGTTATGCTTCTGTCTTTGTCAAAGCCGCCTCCTGTTGTTGGTCTGTGCCGCGCTGCTCGTGACCGTGGCCATGCTCCCAGCCCAACACGCACATGCTACAACCGCGTCTTTGCCACAGTCGACGCCAACCGGCGACAGGTTGTTGGATCGGACTGACCCATCTACGACCGCCGCGAACGCAGACCCGCTCAGCCTCGTCGACTTTGACGAAGCTGCCGCCCTCGAGCGCTTGCAGGCCGACAGTTCAGTCAATGGCCAGGATCCGCTTGCAACGGCGCGCGTCAAGATGCTCAATCCGGACAAGGCCATCGCGCAAACCACCATGACGCTGCAGCTCGCCTCCGCTCCCCGGCACCAGGAGGCATTTGCAAAGTTAGTGCAGCGGGAGCTACAAAGACACGTGCTCGATGGCATTGCTTCGGTGTCGAACTCGCAGGGCTTTACTGCACAACTTTGCTCGCCCGTCAAGATTGCGGTGCTGGTTGTCGATCGGAACCGCGATTCTCGCTCAGAGCAGTCGCCTGTCGACAGCCGCGCGCTCGAAGAGCCAGGTGCGGCCTATTCATGGTCGGCTGGACACCCAGACGAGACCCGGACAATCCTAGATACGAGCGATGCGCTTGAGGGCGTCGCTGTTCTCCAACTCACCACTTTTGTGCGCCTGGCATTTCCATCAGACTCGCGTGACGGAGGAGGATGCCTGCGGCTGGCATTTTCCCTTCAACCGCGAATGGACGCTGGTCGACTAAACCTCGTCATGCACTCTGTTCAACTCCAACCGTCCACCTGCAGCGAATGCCCCAAAGCTGAGCCGGAGGTGGATTGGAGTCTCCAGCCTTACTCGAACGCTTTGCATGCACTTGCCACTGCTGCTAGGGCAGAAAACATCTCCAGATTGGCCAATACTCTTCTCCAGAACTGGCTTGGGCACGATGCTCTCCCGCACGCTGTATCGCTTGCGTTGGCCGGAGTTGGCCCGATCGCTGCTCCTCACGGCCAACTGCCACCATCATGGAATGCGTGGATTGAGCCTGGACCGCCTCGACTCGTCCTAGAGTGGCGGGAAAGTCGACCAGACCTTCCATTGCTCGGCGACGGTACGGAGCTCTTCATCCAGCACTTTGCGCAACTGTCTGTGATTGATGTGCAAGTTCCGTGTGTTCGCATCGCCGAACTAGTCCAATCGTTTCTTCGGAAGGAAGTGAAGGAAGTGTTTGCCGACGCGACTGGACGCGTGCAAATGTCCCAGGTTCGTGTTGGCTGCGCGGACCAGTTTAACGTCGACGATCCTCGAATCTCGCTCACGCTGGAAGCCACCCTCGCGATGGCACGGCGCGCTGATGCCCAGTCCCCGTGGGTGAATGTGAATGTCGACATCCGCGCCTTCATCAACATTCCCGGGTCTCTGCAAACCGTTGTGAGTCACCTCACCTTCTTGCGGCCCGTACCGAGTGGCACGAACGCGCCACGAGGCCCTGGCGCACAGGACGGCGATTGGACAGCACAGGCGACCGAGGCCGCCAAGCTCTTTCGCGAGGACATCCGCACTCGCCTCCAACTCGCGTTACGCGAATTTGCTACTCTTGATCGGGTTCTAGCCCACGTACGCCAACAACTGGCTTTTCCACCGCAATATCGTCTCGAAGTGCACAACGTGTACACGCATCGGATTGATCAGAGCACAGTGGGAGCGACCTTGACAATCACTCACCCGTTCTCGGCGCTCGAACGAACACTCGCTCAGTTCCTTGCACCATGACCGCAGATGACCGCAAAGCTTTTGATACCAATGGCAAGAGAGTCACCATCGCATTTATTGTTGTTTCATGGCGGAGTTGTGATTGTGCAGAATTTTCAATGTTAAATACAACGATTACAAAATGATATTCGTCCACGATCTTTGCAAGGTTCGCAACAGACCATCACTGCTATGCAGATGATTCCTGATCTTGCTTGCTCAGGCTCCGAGCGGATGATTGGGAAGCCGGGTGGTCGCGTGGCGGCGGCTGCGTCTTGGCGATTTGTGATGACCGGTTTTCAGATTGAATCCGAGCGGTCGCCGCAGCACAATCCGCCACCGGCGCATTTCCAGAGGTGCGAGCTTGCCCGGCAGGTGGTGCCGTTGGTGGAGTTGCGTTTGTCTGTCCAGCTGGTCGCAGGGCTGCGGGAGTTGCGCCCGACACTGGGGCTGTCCGTTGGTTGGGTGGCAGGGATCCTGCTCCTGCGCCTGCTCCTGCGCCTGCTCCTTCTCTTGCTCCTGCTGAAGGCGACGCGGGCATTCCAGCAAACTCTCGCAAGCGCTTCATCAAGGTGTTTGGCCACGTAAATCCACTTCGGATCCATGCATGGTACTTTTCGGCACGCTGCGGGCTGCTGGGTCGAACCACGGTTCGATTGAGCTCGAGCGCTCGTCGGTAGAGTCGCGGGAACCCGTACGCCTGACGATGCACCGATTGCGCACCAGCACAACATTGTAGATTCATCTCTTCCAGTTAGCGCAAATGATCATTGATTTGTGTTTTTTGCAAACGTCGTTGAGAGCAACGAAAGGCAACAGCAAAAAAAAAGTGGCGCACCTTTGCGACAACGAAAACGGCGACTTTCTTGGCGACTGCCAACGCCAACAGCTGCGGAAGTACCATTCTTTTGGTTTGTTGAAGAGCTGTGCTTTTTGAACTGAAATTGAGAACTGAAATTGAGAACGGTGTGTCCGGTCACGACCATATCTGGCCAAAATCAATCACTTTCAAGTTCCACTTTCCACTAATTTCCACTTGATTCTATGGCGTCGAGTGACCCTGTCGCATCCGCTGCTGGCTCAGCCATGTGGTCTGACAAGGCTGCCACTGCGCGCATGCTGGACTTCCTGAACAAGACCAACACGGACGCGGCTGCCGTCACGCTCAAGCGGCGGACGTACGACGCGCTGCTGACTCCGCTGCTCGCGGCAAACCCCGCGGCGCCGCTGAGCGTGCTCGACGTGGGCTGCGGTGCTGGGCATAGTGTCATTGCGATTGCCGCGCTGCTGCCGGCCGGATCGAAGGCCGTCGGCGTGGATTTTAACGAGGCGTTTGTCAAGCAGGGCGGCGAGCTGGCCGCTGCGCAAGTGGCCACAGGCCTCGTCCGTGCCGATGTCGAGATTGTCTTCGCCCAGGCGGATGCGCAGGACTTGTCGCAGTTCAAGGATGCCAGCTTTGATGCTGTGCGCACCGAGCGTGTCTTGCAGCACCTGGCCGACCCGCTGAAAGCGCTGCGCGAAATGGCTCGCGTTCTTCGTCCAGGCGGCCGCTTGGTTGTCACCGAGGGGAACAAGGCGACCATTTCGTGCTTTGCAGAAGACCCGTTCCTCGTCGAAATGCACATCAAGACGCTCGCCAACATGTCGTTTGCTCAAGACTCGATCGGAACGCGCGTCCCGCTGCTCGTCCGCCAGGAGCTCGGCTTCTCAGACGTGCATGTCCAGCCCGAGGTGCTCCTGCTGACCTCGCCTCAGCAAGTCGACCCGGGGCTCAAGCGGGCCCAACTTGCGACCGAGTCGCTCGTGACCAAAGGCACCTTCACGCGCGAGGAGTGCGATCGGTACATTCAGACGCTCCTCGCCGCGAAAGAGTTTGAGGTCATGTACTCGAGCACCTGGTTTGTGACTTCCTCCACCAAGCCCTCCAGTTTGTAAAGCATGACGTCGAGTGATTGGCGGTTTGGTCGGGGGTGAGGGGTTTAGGTGGGAAATCGTGATGTGAGATTGATGATTTTTTGTTTGCTGTTTTGTTTTGCAATTTCAATTCAGTCTTTTTTTTTTTTTTTTTTTTTTTCTTTTCTTGTTCTTTGTTCTTTGGTACTGCTTTGAATGCTGTTGCTGTTCCCCCCCCCCCCGCTCCCTCTCTCCCACGCCCGAGTATCCGATGCCTTACGATCAGATCACGTTGCAGCACGCTTCCTCATCACCAACACCACAATGCTCTGCAACAACAACACTCGAATCAGCGGAACAACAATTCAAAGACAAAGAAAAAAAAACAAAAAGCAGCGATCGTTGGATGCGCGTTTTCTGCATGAGGTGGTCGACCCTTCTTTGCCCCCGAAACCAAGAGCGTTGGCAGACCACGCCCTCGCACCAGATAGGCGGTGTGCATGTCGATTGCAAGCCTCTTCCAACGATCGACCGGCGCCAGGTTCGGGGGAGGTGGGGGGGGGGGAAAGGTGCGCGCGGCCCAAAAAGTTCCGTTTTCCCGCCATTCAACTCGAACTGGACTCTTCGCTCATGCAACCCCGTCGTCGTCGGATCGGCCTCGGGTGTTTTGGCGGCATTGGTGTCTTCCACCAGCTTGACTGAATGGCGGGACTGACGAACAGCGCGACGGATTGCTCTTGGTTTTGGTTGGAGTTGTCGTTCTGACTGCTTTGCACTCTCCCATTCTTGCTGCAGGCTCACTCCCTCTTCATCATGTACGACGACTACTACGATGAGAACATTGAGGTGCGGTCCGAGCCCGAGCACCATGTTCACCAGCAAAGTCACGCCGAGGAGTACGAGGAGGTGATCACGCAGGAAGACACCTGGGTCGTCATTCGCTCCTTCTTCAAGAACAAGGGCCTGGTCCGTCAGCAGCTCGACTCGTTCGACGACTTTATCTCGCTCACCATTCCCGAGCTCATCAGCGAGCAAGGCACCCTCGAGCTCAAGGTCGAGCGACAGTTTTTGGATGCCGACGAGGTCGCCCCTCCCCGCTACGTCGTGAGCTTTGACAACATTTTCATTTCACATCCCACCATCACGGAAAGCGATGGTTACAACCACGCCCTCTTCCCGAACGAAGCACGATTGCGAAACTTGACGTGAGTCCAAGCAAACCACAAAAAAAAAAACCAACAAAAGTGTCGTTTTTTTTCTTTTGTTCTGCCGAAAAATCTCACTTTTATTTGTTTTTTGTTGACTTATTTTTTTGGTTTTCTTGCATCCTTCAAAAAAAAAACAGCTATGCGTGCCGATTGTACGTCAATCTCAAGCGCGAAATGTTCCGATACGACGAGAATGGCGTCGAGGAGCCACCGGAAGTCAAGATCTTGGACAAGGTGTATCTCGGCCAAATCCCAATGATGCTGCGCTCAAAGAACTGCGCGCTCTTCAACAAGAAGGATTATGAGCTCGAAAAGATGAACGAGTGCCCGTACGACCAAGGCGGCTACTTTGTGATTAACGGCTCTGAGAAAGTGCTGATCGCCCAGGAGCGCATGGCCAACAACAATGTGTACGTCTTCCATCGCAAGCCCCCGGCCAAGTACTCGTACGTGGCTGAAATCCGCTCGGCGCTCGAAACGGGCCACCGCCCTGCCAATACGCTGTACACCAAGATGCTCACGCGTGGACAGAGCAAGGGCGAGTCTGCTGGCAACCGCATTCAGTGCACCCTGCCCTACATCAAGACCGACATCCCCATTGTCGTCGTCTTCCGCGCACTCGGCTTTGTGTCGGACCGCGATGTGCTCGACCACGTCATTTACGACTACCAGGACCAAGAGATGATGGAAATGCTCCGCTTTTCGCTGGAAGAAGCGCTGCCTATTCAGGAGCAGCCAGTGGCGCTCGATTTTATTGGCAAGCGTGGTTTGGTACAGGGCGCGACGCGCGAAAACCGCATTCGCTACGCCAAGGAGATTCTGCAAAAAGAGCTGCTGCCCCACGTCGGCGTGACGGACCACTCGGAAACCAAGAAGGCCTACTTTTTCGGTTACATTGTCCACCGTCTGCTGCAGGCCGCACTGGGCCGTCGTGAACTCGACGATCGCGATCATTACGGCAACAAGCGCTGCGACTTGGCTGGCGCTCTTGTTGGCGGCCTCTTCCGCCTCCTCTTCCGCAAGCTCATCAAGGACGTCAAGGCCTCCCTCCAAAAGGACGTCGACAAGCGTCACGAGTTCAATCTCCTTGCGGCCTTCAAGGCCAAGATTATTTCAGATGGTCTGCGGTATTCTCTGGCCACAGGCAACTGGGGCGACGCCAAGAAGGCGCACGAGTCACGCGCGGGCGTCTCCCAAGTGCTCAACCGTCTGACGTATGCGTCCACCTTGTCACACTTGCGTCGCCTCAACTCGCCCATCGGTCGCGAGGGCAAGCTTGCCAAGCCGCGTCAGCTCCAAAACACGCAATGGGGTGTCATGTGCCCTGCCGAGACGCCCGAAGGCCAGGCATGCGGCCTTGTCAAGAACCTGGCGCTCATGGCGTACATTTCCGTGGGTTCGCCTGCGCTGCACATTATCGAGTTCCTCGAAGAGTGGGCCACTGAAAACCTCGAAGAGACGACGCCGCAGAGCATCTTGCAGTCGACCAAGATCTTTGTCAACGGCTGCTGGGTCGGCATTCACGCGCAGGCGAACGAGCTGGTGCGCACGCTGGCCCAGCTCCGCCAGCGCACGGATATTAGTCCCGAAATCTCCATCGTGCCGGACATTCGCGAGCGCGAGCTGCGCATCTACTCTGATGCCGGTCGTGCCATGCGCCCCCTGTTTGTCGTCGAAGACGAGCGTCTTAGCATTCGTCGCGAGCACATTGACGCGCTCAAGCAGGCCGCTCAGGCCGACCGTGCTGGCGAGCACATTGACAACCCCATGCGCTGGCCCGAGCTCATCACCACCGGCGTTATCGAGTATATCGACACCCAGGAAGAGGAGACGCGCATGATTGCCATGCATCCCGAGGATTTGGACTATGCCCGTCGTGAGGGCCGCGGCGCGTACTGCTCCACGCACACGCACTGCGAAATCAACCCGGCCATGATTCTCGGCGTGTGCGCCTCCATCATTCCTTTCCCGGATCACAACCAGTCGCCGCGTAACTGCTACCAATCAGCCATGGGCAAGCAAGCCATGGGTGTGTACATTAGCAACTTCCAAGTGCGCCTGGACACCATGTCGCACACGCTCTACTATCCCCAAAAGCCCCTGACCACCACGCGCTCGATGGAGTACCTGCACTTTGACTCGCTGCCTGCTGGCATGAACGCGATCGTTGCCATTTCCGTCTACTCTGGCTACAACCAGGAAGATTCCGTCGTCATGAACCAGTCGGCAATCGACCGTGGCTTGTTCCGCTCGCTCTTTTACCGCTCGTACAAGGACGAAGTCAAGCCTGCCGGCCTCGATGTCGGCGATGAAGAGTTTGAAAAGCCGTCGTTGGAGATTGTCGCCGGCATGCGTCACTCGTCCTACGACAAGCTGGACGCGGACGGTCTTGTTGCGCCCGGCACCCGCGTGAGTGGCGATGACTTTATCATTGGCAAGACCACTCCCATCCCCGATGAAAAGAACGAGCTGGCGCAGACCATGAAGCGCTACCGCAAGCGCGACGCCTCCACCGCCCTTCGTTCGACCGAAAACGGCATTGTCGACACGGTCATGCTGTCGGTGAACGAGGACGGTCACCGCTTCGTCAAGGTCCGCGTCCGTGGCATTCGTATTCCGCAGATTGGCGACAAGTTTGCCTCGCGCCACGGTCAGAAGGGTACCTGCGGCATCACCTACCGTCAAGAGGACATGCCGTACAACGCGGAGGGCATCACGCCCGACATTATCATCAACCCGCACGCCATTCCATCGCGTATGACCATCGGTCACTTGATTGAGTGTCTGCAGGGCAAGGTTGCTGCGCTCACCGGCAAAATTGGTGACGCCACCCCGTTCAACACTGACGTGACGGTCAAGAGCATTGCCGATCTCCTCAAAGAGTTCCGCTACCACCCTTACGGCAACGAGGTGCTCTTCAACGGCCACACTGGCAAGAAGATGAACACGCAAGTGTACTTTGGCCCGACCTACTACCAGCGCCTCAAGCACATGGTCGACGACAAGATTCACTCGCGTCAGCGCGGTCCGCTCACCAACCTGACTCGCCAGCCCGTCGAGGGTCGTGCGCGTGACGGCGGTCTGCGTTTCGGTGAGATGGAGCGTGATTGTCTTCACGGCGACGCACGCGTGACCCTCGCCACTGGCGTGTCCATGCGCATCCGCGACCTTGTGCACCTGCCCGAGGTGCTGGCGCGTGGCGACAACCTCACGCTGGTCCCCATCGCCCCGTCCGCGCACCTGCCTCGCCCCAAGCTGAAGGACTGCATCCGTCTCGTGTTTAGCGACGGACGCGACCTTGTGTGCACACCCGAGCATCTTGTTCTGACGGCCGACGGCGAATGGGTTCACGCTCGCGCGCTGGTGCCCGGAGAAACCCGCGTCACGGTCGGGCTGTGCGCGCCCGAATATTCGGCGAGCGCCGATGACGCGGCGGCCGTCTCCGCTTTCGCGCTGCACCTGCCACGCGTTGGTGCGACGCTGCGCATGGGTGACGCGCAGGAGGTTGCACGCACTCATGCTTTCGCTCGCGTGCTCGGCTACTTTTTCACAAACCTTGGCTCCATGAGCTACAGCGCCGCCAATGACTTTTATGACGGCTGCCTGGCGCTTGGCCACCGCATCGACGCCGAGCGCGCTGTGGCCGATGTGCTGCAGGCCACCGGACTCAAGTGTCAGGTCGAGGCTCCGAACGCCACCTCCAAGCTCTTTTCAGTCTGGCTGCCGTCGGACCTGCTGCGCGATTGCCACCAAGTGCTGCACATACAGCCTGGCAAGCGTGTGCTGCAGGCCGACTCGCTGCCTGCCTTCATCCTGGCCGACTCGTGTCCGCTGTCGGTGGTACGCGAGTTCCTGGGCGGCCTCTTTGGCGGCGACGGCCTGGCGCCACAGCCCATGGCGCACGGCTGGCATTCGGTGGGCTTTGCGATGAGCAAGGTCGAGGCGCACGCGGCCTCGCTGCGCGCGACCTTCGACCAGATCGCTGCTCTGCTTGCGCGCTTTGGCATCAACGGCGCGACGCAGGAGACTCTTGTGGACGTCACCAACAAGCACCCCGAAGCTGGTGCCACGGTGCTCTCCGGCCGCCTGATGTTGCCCGTTGAGCAGTTGGTCGCGTTCCAGGAGCGAGTTGGCTTCCGTCTGTGCTGCCACAAGCAGCAGCGCTCCTCGGTCGCCGCCTCCTTCTACCGCGCGTGCGCGTATTCGCAGGAGCAGCGTCGCCAGTTTATCGCTCGCGTGGATGCGCTGACGGGCTACACCGCTGCGTCTGTCCCTGCGGGCGGCAAGCGCAAGCGCCTCCTCATGACGCTGCAGGCTGCCTACGCTCAGACTGTGCAAGAGTTCGAGGCCGCCGAGATCTTTATTCGCCGCGAGCACGCCGTGCCGAGCTACCAGGCCGTCAAGGATGCGCTCAAGGGCGTGTCTGAGGTGACGAAGGTCGTGCCACGGCTCTGGCTGCAGCAGCACGACGCCGCCGCCTTCTTTACCGAGTCCACGCTCGATCAAAGCTCTGTCGTGTCCGCGGTCGCTCACCGCCTCGACGGCTTCCCCACTTGGAGCGCGACCTTCATGGGCTCCAAGCCCGCGGGCAGCCACCTCACCTTCGACATCAGCGTGCCCGGCGCGCACAACTTTATCGCCAACGGCGTCGCCGTCCACAATTGCATGATTGCCCACGGTGCCGCCCAATTCCTCCGCGAGCGTCTGTTTGAGCAGTCTGACTTTTCGCGCGTCCACGTCTGCGACATTTGCGGTCTTATTGCGATTGCTAATCTGAAGAAGAATGAGTTTGAATGTCGCGCTTGTCGCAACAAGACACAGGTAAAAAAAGCGTCGTTTCGTGTTGATGCTGGTTTTGTCGCTCTTTGCTCAGTTTGAATTTCTCATCCTCGTGTGCGTGTCGATTTCCCCTCTCCCCCCCCCTTTTTTTGCCCACAACAGATTTCGCAAATCTTCTTGCCATATGCAGCCAAGCTGCTCTTCCAAGAACTCATGTCCATGAGCATTGCGCCACGATTGATGCCGAGGACTGGCGGCCGAGTCCGAAGAGGATGAGCGCTGTTATTGTTTGTCTTTTTTTCGATTCGTGTTCCTCTTGTGTCCCAATTCAATCTGTACGAGTAGCATTTCGTCCAATTTGGTGCTTTCAGTGCGATGTAGAGACCAAAGCAGAGTGCAGCAACAGGTGCTCAAATGGATGTTAAACGGCAGAGGGTGCGCATGCAGGAAGGGGTTTATTGCATCGGTTTTGTTACACAAAGTCACAGCATCGACCAGGATGCGCCCTTTGGAACAAAACCCCTCCATGTACACACGACAGGTTCATGCAAATCTGAGACAAAAACCGTGCATCTAAAGACTCGCATCAAAGCGTGTCAGAAAATAAAAGAAGATGGAAAAAAAAGGAAACGTGGATGGAAGGGACAAAGAAAAAAAAAGAAGAGCAAGCAAAGAAACGACATGAAAAAAAAAGAAAAAGAAAAAGAATACAAAATACTGCCAGCTTAAAAAACAGAGGCGTAGGCCATGTTCGGCTCTCCGAGGTTTTGACCAACAATCTGATAGGGCCAGAAGGTCACAAACTGGTGCGTTGGCTCGTCCCAGAAGACGTTAAAGAAGGAGGTGGCGGCCTTGGGTCCGTCGACAACGTTCACCTCAGACCAGAGTCCGCGCTCCTGACCAACCTCGTGGCAGGCTGCGAGACGATAGCACGGAACGCGAGTGGACAGGTGGTGGATGTGGTGGTACTGGATGCCGAGGGTGAGCCACTTGAGGAAGGCCGGGACGCGGAGCATGGTCGAGCCGTGGATGGCGGCGGCGTGCGGGGAGAACTTTTCGGCGGGAGCGCGGTAGCCCGTGTTGACCGAGTGCTGGAGATGGAAGAGGAAGATGCCAGTGATGCCAGCCAGCCAAGCAGTGAAAAACTCGAGAGTCACGGCGTAGAGGAAGGGCTGCGGGACGCCACGGACGGCGAAGGCCGCGTACAGCGTGGTCGCCTGGATCAGGAAGCAAAGACGCGCGGGCCACGAGCTGCGACGGTGGAACGGCAGGTGCACAAACCACACATACAAGGGCAGGAGGACGAGCATAAAGACGATGGGGTCGCGCATGCCGCGAATGAGGACGCGCTTCCAGAGCGCCAGCTTGCGCCAGTCGTCGGTAGTGTGTGCAATCGTGGCCGCCTCGTCAAGCACGTCGAGGTTGCCCTGAACGAGGTGGTGGCGGTTGTGGCCGTAGCGCCAGAGGGCAAAAGGGGTGTACGCGAGCATCTGCAGCAGCTTGCCCGTCTTGTCGTTCCACTCGCGGGTCGCCCAGAACGAGCCGTGTCCGCAGTCGTGCAGAATCATAAAGGAGCGGATTTTGAGTCCAGCAGCCACAAACAGCCAGACAAACCCGAGGGCAAAGTAGAGCACGGGGTAGCCGTTCGCAAGGCCGGCTTCGACGGCCGACGCCGACGGAGGTGCAGTTGCGTTTCCCTGGACTGCCGCCGCGTTGTATCCGGCAAAGCTGAGCGGGGCGAGCAGCGTCCATCCAAGCCAGGCCGCGACTGTCACGGCGAGGGTGCGCGCGGCAATGCGGTCGTCTGCGAGGAAGCGCTGTTCCTTGACGTGCGCCAGCTGTGGGCCAAAGTCCGGCACGAGGTCCTTGTTCACGGCCACCTCGGGCAGGTCTGCGGTGGACAGCAGGCCCTTGTCGAACGAGAGCAACGCAGCGCCCTGCTTGTCCAAGCGGATGGGCGCAGCGTCGGCAGCGTTGGCCGAAGCAGCAGCAGAGGAGGCAGCAGAGTCCGGCGTGGGGGACGACGGAATCGAGCCACCTGCAGCCGAAGCCGCAGCAGTGCGTTGCTTCAGTTGCTTCAGGGCAGCCGGTGCGTTGTCAGCTGAGCGCGTCATGAGCGTTGTTGTTTGGCTGGTTCACGAGCGGGAGAAGAAGAAAGGGAAGGAAGGAAGGGAAAGAAGGAAGGGAAAGAAGGGAACGAAGTGGGGTTGAGAAATAATAAAAATAATAAAATAATAATACAAACAAACCAAAAAAAGGAGAAACAAAAACAAGAAAAAAAAAAAAAAACGAGTGAGAAAGAACCATACTTGGTGTGGGTTGGGAATCGACCGGCTTTTGGCTCTTCCCTCCTCCACAGTAAGAGCAGAATTCCACGAGAGAAGGAACAGCGAAAAAGCAAGGAGGCTGGAGTGACGAAGGGACCGAGGGAGAGGGAGTCTGAACTGTGAAAATGTCACAGTCAGTTGCGATGTATCGAACAGCATAAAGAGTGGGACCCACCAAGCCAGCACGAAACCCTCCTCCCCACCCACTCTGTAATCCGAACAATCCAAGCCTCCTCAAAGCGTTTAGTGGCCTGCTTGCAAAAAAAAAAGTAGCTCGAGCCGGACTTGCGCAGTCAAATGGACGAAAATCAGTTCGAAATCCGAGAAAACCCAGTGCAACGACTATTGGACACAAAGCTGGACCCCCATGCGTGTCATACAAGTCAGGTTGAAGGGGGAACACGAGAATTCGTGGCAAATTTGCGTTCCAGTTGCTCTAGATCGACCAAAGCGGTCTGACAAGGGAATCAGGTTCGGATCGGACAAGAGGTTTTTTGGCGTTGCTTGTCTTTCTAAATGCGAGGCCAAATAGAGGCTTGCTGAGACTATGAGGTCCTTTGACAGCATGACAACCACTGTGCTTTGTTACTTGGCAACAACGTGTTCGGAGGGGTTTGGATCCTGGGGTTTCTCTATCTGAGGCGTGTGTTGAAAGGTCACACGCGCCCTTTTGATGTTTTCCTTGGTTTCTTTTGGGTTTCTTTGCTTTATTTTGTTTCTTTCTTTTGCTTTTTGGACACGGGCAGCTCGCGGATTATTACGATACAGGACTGGTGCTGCGAATGCTACGGGAGATGGCAGAAGCGGGGGGTGAGGGACGACGGTTGAATTCGAACGCATGCCACGAAAACGTGCCGCATAACTCATGATTCGGCTTTCCTATGATTCGGCTTTCCTATGATTCACTCATGGTCGCACCGCAGCCACCAAGCGCCCGTGAGCTCGCCCTCACTTCATGCATGCAGACGCAGAAGCGAGCGACATGCACAGCCAGGAGCAGCGAGAGCGGCAGCCGGTTCACAGAAGAATGCGAACGAAAACGGGCTTGCCAAACTCATCAGCATTTGTTATTTGTTTTTTTATTAAAAAATTGTTCTTTTGTATTTTCCATGTTTCAACTTCCCAAATTCAGTCTTGCTCCTGTGCTCTATTTTCCACATTCTCATACCAAGGGTTTTTTTTTTGTTCTTTGTGATCACACGTGGCTGGTTGTCGCTCTGGCCAAAGTCCTCCCGCTACTGCTACCTCTTGGTCCCGGCGTGGCCCTTTCCGCCCCGAGTCTTGTTGCTAGTGAGTCACCTCAAGCCCGTTGTTCGTTTAAAAGCAAACCTGTTTTTTTTGTTTTTTTTTTTTTTTTTTTTGATGGTTCGCGGTTTTCGTCTGTTTTTTTTTTTTTTTTTTTCTCATGGCGCTCCTTCGTGATCACCATCGTTGAATTTCACACTCACTCGATGCTGAACTGGGTGTGCTGTCGCTGCAGGAGCGTCAAACTCGTCGTGTCCCTTCAGCACAAAAGCAAAACAAAAACGCAGGTCACGGAAAATCAAATAACTCTGGAATGACCGTTGTGAGTAGTTTGGCAGGTAGCGCGTCGGCCGCCGCGGACGTGGCCGTGCGCAGGCCCGCCGCTCCCGAGCCCAGCTGGCTGGAGCATCAACACACATCTCGGGATCACCTACACAGGCTCGCGCAACGGGAGGTCGCGCAGGCAACGTCAGGAGTCGGCATGGCTGCCCCAAGCCAGCTCAACGTCGGCCGATCCCGATGGTCGTTCAGCGGCCACAACCGCCGTGCTGCATGGTCTCTGTGTCTTGGCGGCAGCTGCATCATGATGCTATTGCTGTGTGCGGCGCTTTTCTACTCGCCGGGCCACCTGGACGGTCGCAACACAACCCCTGTTCTCACGCCGGACACGCGAGCCCGCAGGAATTTGGACCACTACTTTCGCAGCATCAAGGTCACACCCACCGTCGGTCCTGCCGCCCAACAGCCTGCCACCAATCTGCGAGCGCGCGTCCGTGCCAGCCTAAGTGCAGCGGCCCAAACTGGCAAACCCACTCAAGAAATTCCAGCCTTGATGGGCGATCAACTCGACACTGGCCTGCGCCTCGCACTCACTTCTGCCGAAGTCGCCGAATGGGCTGTGAATGAGCGTTGGCGAGCAATAGAGCAGTCCGATCGCGGCGACGACGACGGCGGCGGTTCCGCGCGCCCAATCATGTGCTCGGCTGGATTCATCCCACATCCACTGACATTGCACACGAGCGTCGTTGCCAAGGAGACTGGTCGCATTCTGCTCAAAGCTCTTGATCATGGTGCGCCAGCACCGTCAGCGGCAACGCGGCCCAACTACATTTGCCGTGCTTGCCCGCCGCACACCTTCGCGCTGCCTGGGATGCTGGCCTGCCGACCGTTCTTGACGTGTTCTGATCTTGCGCTCGACGGTCCCAACGCGATTGTCTCAGAGACGCGGCGCATTACGAATGGAGGCGTCAAGCACATCAAGCAAGGCGTGCTCCGTCTTCCACCGCTCGTTGTGGACGGCACGACTCTGAATCCTACAGAAAAGCTCACTCACACAGTCATGATTGCAACCGCCATCGTTGCCGACGACTTTGAACACGGCTTCTCCATGCTGACACAGCTATCGCCGCACCCGCACATCACGCAACCCGTTGGCTACTGCGACTCGGTCGAGTCCATCCTGTCTGTGACGGAATGGGTCACGCACGGGGCTGCATCCCACGTCGATGCGCTTCTGGCCACTTCCGCTGGAACACCCGCCTTACCTGCCTCCTTTGGAGACCTAGATTTGTTGCGGACGCGTCTGCGACTGGCGCAAGAGTATGTGCGCGTCTTGGGCTACCTGCACAACAGTCCACTTGGTGTTCGCGTCATGTGCGACGGCAACACTCCAATCAAGGCGTTGTCTCAGTACTTGGTACGTAGCATCTGTGACGTGGGGCACGCCGGGGGCGGGGAAAGAAGGAGGTTGGCATCGTTTCCAGGTTGCTGACCATTTGTTTTGTTTTTGAACGCTTGACGCCTTGCCGCCTCCCCGCGGTTTAGATCTCGGAAGACGGCACCCTCAAAGCAAACGACCTTGATGCTTTGCCGCAAGTGATTTATGCTGACGGCACGCGTGGCGCGGTTCTTCGAGGAGTCAAATGCGGTCATCGCGAGTTGTCAGGTGGGTCTCAAAGCTTCTAGTATTTGTATATGCTGGGAGGAGATCTGCTGGTGGTTGCGCAAGTACGAAACTGAATCCCTTGCATCACGTTTTCCGTTTCCTCCAACAACATTTACACGAGTTTAGGTCAATTCGTGGCGCCAGAGCAAAAGTGGCCGTTTTCAACCCCATTTTTGGACGAGCTCATGCCGGCATACACCGAGAAGACAGACATCTGGAAACTTCCAGAGATTGTACAAGTGCTCTTCCCCTATCTACAAAGTTGTGAGGCTGCTGCAGCCGAACACAAAGCCGTCCGTCCGAGCGGCTTGAGCTGCACTCCTGCCGTGCAGGAGGCTTTCCGTCACATTGACCGATTATTCAGTCGCTGCAAGCACGCTCATCCAAGGCAACGGCCGCCAGCGAGTGAGCTTCTCCAAGCGTTTGATACTGCGCTGCTTGCCGTCAACAGCAGCCCATCAAACTCGTCTTGAGAAAAAAAAAAAACCATAGTTCTTTTAAGGATGGCGATGCATCCCGAAAGGGTCGTTCGTCTTTCGATTTATTCTATTCTGCATCAGATTTGTAACACAATCACATGATTTACATTAACATTCAAAGTGTGGCGGAAGCTGTGAGGCGATTGCCGAATAAATATTGTATTAGAGTACAAAGAAACCGCTGGAAGGTCGAGTCTATCACGAGCCCCTGAAGATAAGCGTATCGAGAAGACGTTGTCAACCGAGAAGAAGATGCTGCCTGTTTGGTTCGTCCAAAGCAAAGAATGGTACGGCGAAGGACAAAATGGGCGATCGGCTCACTCTGGCACATGGCGATTTGCAAACCACGTGCACATCCACTCGTATACGGCAAAGGTGATGGCGGTAGATGGCATGGACTTGAGCACGCTTGGCAAGCCACCTTTGAAAAAACCGCGCACGCCCTCCTGCGCGAGCATAATTTGCATTGCGTTTCGCATACCCAGGTACGTCTGCTGTCGTCCAAAGCGAAACCGCGGCTCCTCAAACCCTTGAACCTGCCAGGATCGATTCAATAAGTCATCCTCAAACACGACCAACACCAAACGCACTACGCCGCAACCGCACCTGCAAACGTTTCTTGACAATGTCCAAAGGTAGAACGGTGAATTTACTGAGCGCCCCGGCGACGGCTCCGCAAGCGGTGACTTGCAATTGTGACAAGTTCACATGTTGCGGATGTTCCTGAACAACAGCAACAACAACAACAACAACAAAAAACAAAAAGGAAAACAAAAAAGAAAACAAAAAAGAAAACCACACAGCGCATGAGCAAAACACATCCCCCAATCGTATCCAATGGTACTTTTCAACACAAGAAAAGCTCCCTGGCTTACTGGATTGAGAATCCATCGAAAGGTTCGCTTGGAAGACTCGTAAAAGCAAAACTGCAAGCCCATGTAGGGAAATATTTGAATGACGCCAGGAACCAACCCTTTGTAGAACCCGCGAAGGCCGTCGTTCAGTGCAATCATTTGTGCTGCATGAAACAAGGAGCGGTAGACACGAGGCTCTCCTTGCGACGCCAAGCGCGTGCGCATCGTGTCGAACGGGAATGAAACAACCGTTGCCAGCATGCCGGCAAGAGCACCTCCCACAAACGAGGACACAGGATCCAGCTCGGTGCCACGCTCGCCGACAGGCATGTGGCCGTATTGGAGGGTCAAGATCATCGACTTGTACGAGTGGAAGAATGCAAACTGGGAAGCGCCGTACGCCATGTACAAGAGTTCAGCTGTCAGGTTGCCCTTCCACAGAGCGCTGATGCCTTCTTCTCGAACAATCAATCTCAACGCTTGCAGGATACCTGTGTACTTTGCCTGTGCCCAACGCAAGTTGAACCGAGGTGAGTTGAACAGCGCACGCGAAAACCCATTAAGCGTTCCCGCAAAGAATACATCGGTCCACAGCAATCATCCAGCACTTTTGAAAAAAATGATTCAAAGTAAAACTACCCGCACACGCGCATGCACATGCACATGCAAACTCGACTCACCTTGCCGGCAGCAGGCTCCAGCTGGAGCTGAAACCGAATCTTTAGCACGTCGAGCGGAGCAATCGCGCATCGAGCCACGGCGCCAGCAACTGCGCCTGAAATGGCGCTCTCCGTGGTGGTGAGCATGTGACGTGTCAGTCGGACGCGCTCCCACTTTGGATCGGGCGCTGGAGCCAGCGTTGTGCTCTGGGGATTGGTCGCCGTGGCGCCTGGACCTTCCACGACTGAGGCGGCAAGAGCAGCGCGTTTGGACGTAGCAGCAGCAGCATGATGATGGATCTGATTCACACTGCTGCTTCTGTAGCTGCTGCTGCTGCTGCTGCTGTTGTCGGATTGCTCGAGGGTTGCCGCTCGAGTACTGGCAGACCAAGAAGCCTGCTGTATTTGGCGATTGGCAGGCGGTGCATTCCCACGCCAGCAGGAGGGCCACAGCAGCAGCGGCGCACTGCCCGCCTTCAGTGCTTGCATCCATGGGACTGGGCGTCCACTGCGCAGAGTCCAGCGTCCGTCGCTGGCAGCAGCATCGGCAGCAGGAGGGGCAGCATGGGTCGACCCGAATAGCGGCGCTGGACCCGCACATGGACTGTGCTGGTTTGGCTGCTGCTGCTGCTGCTGCGAGGTCACTGCCACGTCCGCAACAGCACCAGCGAGTGAGTGCGCAGCAGAGCCAGGTGCCATTGCTGCTGCCATGACGGAACGCAGCGCACGCGCGTTGGCCAGTGTCTCCAATGGGACGACTCGCCTGCAGTGGTCCTCCATCGTCAATTTCAATTTCCGGCAGCTCCAATTCTGCGACGAGGCTTTGGTGGCAAAGAAAAGAAAAAGAAAAAAAAATCTTGACTGGATGAACGTAGCAAGAAAACGCAACAAGGATGCGCTTGCTTGAATGCAGAAATGATTCGCGCCATGCATCGTTCAATCTCACCCCCCCCCCCGGCCACCCCGCTCCTCCTTGGATCTATGCTCTCTTGTTGACTTGTTGTTTATTTTAATGTCATACTGTACACTCATTCATCATGATGTCTGAGATCCTTCACTCTTCACTCTTGTTTTTTTTCCCCCCCCCCCTCTTCCTTTCCTATTCACCATGTCGACTGCACGCGTCGCGATGAACCGCCAGGGTGTGGAAGACGCCTACGCCGAGCCCATGAACTTCCTCGAGATTGACGTGCTCGATCCCCAGACCCACGGCCTCGGTCGGGCGCGCTACACGGACTACGAGATTCGGCTGCGCGTGAGTGTTATTCCTGATAGGATTGAGAGAGAGAGAGAGAGAGAGAGAGAGAGAGACAGACAGATTGAAAAAAAAAAAAGCATTTCGTTCTTCACATTTTCTTCACTTTTTTCGTGAGCAATTTTAGTAAGAGGCTTTGCTCGATTTTCAACCAAACAAAAATTCATAGCAAAAACAATCAGTCTGGGTTGACATGTGCGGCCAATCCGCTGCCCCCGTCTCGCTGCCACTGTTCGCTCTGCACTCGCGCATCTGTCCTCGCGCGCCGCTTGTTGGCTGGTCCGAGGGGGGGACTTCGGAGTGTGTGGCGTTTGCAAGCGGCGGGAGAGGAGGAGCAGCAGAAGGAAGAGGCGGGCGCATTGCTGTGAAAGCCGACCTTGGACCGCTCACCCGCTCACACTGTGCCTCTCCCTTCGGCTGTCTGTCTGTCGCGTGCTGTGATTGATCCAGACCAACTTGCCCGTCTTCAAGGTGCAGGAGGCCGTCGTCCGCCGCCGATACAGCGACTTTGAGTGGCTGAAGAACGAGCTCGAACGCGACAGCAAAATCCTCGTCCCTGCGCTCCCGGGCAAGGCCATCATGAAGCAGGTAGGCAACGCTTGGGGGATCAAAAAAAAGCAAGAAAGGAAAGCAAGCAAGCAGCAAGCAAGCAGGGCAGGCCGACAGGCAGCAATGCAGAGAGACGATCGCCCCATTCACACTCCATTTTAAGCTCCGCTCACAACCCCTCCCCCTCCCCCGACTTCATGGTTTGAACAGTTGCCGCTATTGACAAAGGACGAAGGCATCTTTGAGGATGCGTTCATCGAGGAACGCCGCAAGGGTCTCGAAGTTTTCATCAACAAGTTAAGCGACTACAATTCCCTGTTGCGTTCTCTCTCTGTCTCTTTCTCCGAGATTCAATGTAGAAGCTGACGGTTTCGAAACAACCTTCTTGCAATGTCGTCATCTACTGCTGGCATGCTCTTGCTTTTTTTCTTTTCTTGAAATTCAATTGCCAACGCAGAATCGCTGGCCATCCGCTTGCTCAGAACGAACGATGCCTCCACATGTTCCTCGTTGACCGCCGTATTGACCGAAACTATACCCCTGGCAAGATCCGCTAAATGACTCGAGCGTTTCTTTCTTGAATCTGGTCGCCCTCTGCTGTTCGCCGGTTCAATGGCGGAAGGAAAAAACAAAAAAAGCGGCCAATTTTTTTTCTTTCTTCATACTTTTGTTTTTGTTTGTTTGTGTTTTATGTTCTGTTGTTTCAATGTTCGCTGTGCCTCGTTGTTTTTGGTTTTCTTTCGGCCTTCCACATGCCATCTCCCCTCGCGCTGGGCTGATCCTCAACGCGCATGTCCATTGTCTCGGTTTGTCACTCACCAGTCGATTGTCAAACGCCCGCGCTGATTATCTCGCCATCAAAATTCAAGCGTCGCGTTTTCATTGATTGGTTGTGTTTTGTGTGTGTGTGTGCGTCGGGGTACTGGTGTCGGGAAGAAGTCGCTGTTTGTCTGCTGTTTGTTTGGTTGTTTGCTTGCTTTTGTTGTTTCGACTTGTCGTTCAATGGATCAGTTGAATGTCCTTGTCGTCGTGAGTGCAGAGTGAGTTGGCATCATGGCATCAGTCATCCGGCGATCGTGAACAGAGCTATTTTGAAAGAGCCCGACCCTCGACCTCGGTGAAATCGAATCGTTGAATATGTTGAGAAGCTTGTGTGATCAGTTCAAACGCTGCAAGTCGGGGTAGAGATGGCAAGCACCACGTTAAATCAACAACAAGACTGCATCCACGATTGTCGAAGGTTTACTGCGATTAGTACACTCCAAGGTTGCCACTCGAGAGCATTATTCGTACAAACAACTCAATGGGCTTGCGAGGAATCCTCTCCCGGTAGATATGGGCTGCCAAGTACTGCTCCGCAGATACAGGATCCCGATCGAGCCTTGTGCTGTGGTCTGTCATGCTCAGCATGAAGGATCGCCACAGCCCGCGCCATCGGTACGGGATAATCAGCATCTTGTCGTTCTGGCCGCCGTACATTTGGTAATTGGGGCCATAGACGTGGGAATCAGGCAGTCTGTTCAAGTCTGGAAACGGGCACTTCCATACGAGGTCAAACCGCGATTTGACGATAAACTTGTAGGAGATGTTGGAAGCTTGTGCGTACGCGTCGACCAGATCCACGCAATCGGCAGCATGACGCGCATGAAGGTAAAAGTTCTCGATCTTGCTACCCCACCAATGTGGGATGTCGAACATGTCGCCCACAGGAACGGGGGTTTCGCTTCCGGGCTCGATGAATCGAGCTTGCGTTGCGTTGTACATTCAGCTTGCGCTCGAATATCATTCGTGTCGTCGGTCACAATAAAAATATCCACCTGGCCCATGTATGGAAGAACAAACTCCTTGACAGAGGGCAACGTCAGCGAGCCGGTGCGGTACTGGCCGCTGAAGCAGAGCGCATTTCTGGTTGGCAAACAACCTTGAATCCATGCTGGATGCGGCAAAAGCCCTTGCCACCACATGGGGCTGCCAGTGGCAAACGCGTCCATAGCAAATCCCCGGCCTGGGGAAAGTGTCATTTGGATGGCCTCGCATCGTCTGCCGCCCTTCCCTCATCAGCCTACTCACACTGGTTGATTCATCAAGCCCGGACAATGCACCGTGCGCACAAGCGCAGCATGTTGCGCGAGCTGTGTCGTCACGGAAATACAACCAAACCAAATACAGGCCAAGTGTGTTTACCAAATTCAAACAATAAAATAAAACTCAACAGTCGAAAAAAATCAAATCATTTGTGATTATTATTAGTTTTCACCATGCTGAGTGCAACGGCAGTGACGATGCCGAGCTTTTACGACGCTAGTAGTAGTAAAAGTAGTAGTAGTAATAGTAGTAGCGACAGCGTGGGAGGGAGAGCGAAGGACGGCGAAGGCGAGCGAGTCGACCCAGTCGCTCAGCAAGTGACGGAACGCACGTCCTGCACCACCTCCGAGCTCGACAACGGCAGCAGCAGCATCTCCTCGTCATCGCCACCAACAACAGAGTCCACAGAGGACATTCAGGAGGAGCAGCAACAACAACAACAGCGTCAACAAGCCAAAGCGGGCTTGGAAACAAATGAGCAAACAGCCAAGGAGAATTCGACTGACTCAGAAGCGGCTGACGAGGCAGCGTCCGCAGACATGCCCGAGGATAGCAGCAGCAGCAGCAGCAGCAACAACAACAGCTACAGCAGCAACAGTAGCGAGTCGACCAGTGACGAGGAGCTGGCGTCCCAAGAGCAGGACGACTCCGATGAGGACAGCTCAAATCAAATCGAACCGAAATCACGAGCTGTTGCCGCCGCCGCCGTCGCCGACCTTTCCGACAACTCGGACTACAACTCTGACCAGCAAGCAGCAGATTCACCGCAGCCGGCAGCGAACGCGACAGAGGCAGAACTGCCGCCCAACTACCTGAGCCTCGAGAAGGAGCGCCTCTGGACCCGCTCGCGAGCGCCAATCAAGGGAAAACAACGCAAAGAGGCCGCAGACCGCCGTCACACCTTCGCCTCCTCAGCCCCATCCCTCACAAAGAGCGCCTCCACGTCCAACATACTTGCTGAGCTTCCTGAGGCCTCGGATCTCACACGAAACACCCCACCGCCGCCCAACCGCCCGCCCCCGGAGCTCAACGAAGCCAGCTCTGATTCGTTCCGAGCCAAAGCCCTCTCGTGCTCGTCGGCGGCCGGGTACGGCATCCGTCTATCCGACCCAACGGAAAGTGACGCAAACAGCTCAAACGACCACCACCACCACCACCAGCAGCAGCAGCAGCAGCAGGGTGTCGGGTACGTCGTCGTTTTTGTATAGTGTCAAAGGAGAGTTGTGCTAACACGGCTTCTGGGTTTCCAACAAAACAAAACAGACTCATGCAGAGTCGAGAGCTCCACTACTATGCAAACAAAAAGTGGCAGCTCTATCGTGTGTTTATTCAAGACAAGGTGTTGTTATTTTTCAAGAATCTTTCTGCTGACGTACGTTCGTCGTGATGAAAAGGGCGCCGAGGGTTGTTTGGCTTAATCAAAAACACCTTGGTTTCCTTTGTGCCTTTTTGTCGAGCACAGATTCACTCGGCCATTGACATGGCGATTCCCTTTGATGACACGAGCGCGGTGATCACCGACCCGAGGCAACTTGCTGATTTGACAATGAAGAATGCATTCAAAGTGACCACGAAGACTTTAACCTTTACCTTTGCCGCAAACGAGTCTGGCGACCGTGTCTAGTGGGTTTCACCAGAAAGAGTCATTCCGTCTTCTATGCTTGTTCTTGTCTGCTCACGTGTGGTATTGCTTTGCCCCATTCCAGCTGGCTGAAAGCTATCCGCGAATCCCTGGCATCCACTGAGCCTTGCGATCTAGCCAAGGCGTTGCGAGGTCGAACGGCACACAACGTCTTCTTCGCATACCAGTACATTGTGCGCCCAACCAAAGTGGGCAAACTGCAGAAGCAGGCGCCGGGCAAGATGGTTGGAGGCTGGAAGCACCGCACGGTTGTTTTGGACAAGGAGCTGCTCTATTACTACGAGCAAGATACAGAAAAGGTCAAAAAAAAAAAAGTCTGCATGCTGTCTTGCTCTCGCGCTCCTGGATTTTCGTCTCAATGCGCTTCGCATTGTTGCATCACAGATGTTTGTTGCAAAAGGTGTCTTCAATGCGAAAAAGTATCGCGCAGAACTGGACGCCAAAGACCCCAACAAGTTTACGTGCACACCTCGCACAGCACAGGTCCGCAAGCTCGCGGCTGCAGACAATCGCAAGGAAACACCGAGTGACAAGGACAAGAGTCGTGTCTTTACCTTCTGGTCGGCAGAAGCCAAAGACGCAAAAGAGTACGTGTGGATTGTTTTGTGTTGTTTGTGTGGGTTTTTTTTTTCGCATCTGTGCACTCTCTTGGATCCAGGCAGTCGACTTGATTGTCTCAATCGTACACCCTTCCCCCCCCCCTTTTGTGCTTTTTGTTTTGTTTGTTTTTGTTTTCTGCCGTGACAGTTGGGTCAAGCAAATCAACGAGTTGAGCGACCCAAAAACCACAACAAACACTCTGCCGCTCGACCCCAAACAGGACGACAGTGCAGCCGCCCTGAAGCCCCCGGTGGCCAAAAGAACCTCGCTCCTGCCCAATTCTGTCACGGCAGCAGAACCTGTGTATGTCTCGCCCCCTGGTCGTCCAACGCGTGCCGTGCCTCGGCCGCAATCGGGAGACCAAGCGGCAACGGCGCCTCTTTCCATAACACCGGCAGCTTCTTCATCCGATGTGGGCGACACTCCACCGGTTCACTTGTACTCGGAAATTGGTCCACAAACTACGCGCCAGGCGTCGGCTCCTCCTCCCCCTCCGCTATCTGTTCGCCCAAATCTGGCGCAACACCTGGAGCCTGCCCCACGCAGCCCGTTGTCGCCTCCATCGACGCCAACCGACGTTCGAGCTGCCATTCGGCAAGCCGTGCTTGGGGCGCAGGTGTTGGGGAAGGGAAACTTTGGTACCGTCACCAAGGCAACACTCACGGCGGATCTCATCCCGCGACAGTTCAGGGATAGCCTGGAGGACGAAGCGTTGGAGGTCGCCGTGAAGACGTTGAACACTTCCCTCCAGACCGACACCCACGCCCAAGCGGAAGCCAAGACTTTGCGGAAACTTCGGCATGTCAACATTGTGCAATGCGTGGAGATTCTGGACGAAGCCTCGCCAACCTTGCTTGTCCTCGAGTTTGTGCGGTATGGCGATCTGCAAAAGCTGCTGCAGCACTCCACAACACGCAGCATTGCCTGGAATCTGAGCGAGCAAGTAAGCGTTCTCGGTCAGATTGCCACCGCCATGCAGTATCTCGTGTCGATGAAAATCGTGCACCGCGACCTGGCCGCCCGAAACTGCTTGGTGGGTGCGGAGCTGCATGTCAAAGTCGCCGATTTTGGTCTCGCGAAAACCGAACCCATCTATGCGTTGAAATCGAAAACGTTACTTCCAGTGCGGGTAAGCTTTACTGCGCGCGGTCATTGTAGAGATTGTTGGGAGAGTGTGCATCCGTTGCGGCGCTGCAAAACGACGCGAGGCTGACTTTGAACGCACACATAAAAATCTATCTCAGTATTTGGCACCAGAGTGCTTCGATCACGCAACATTTGACGCCAAGACTGACGTGTGGTCCTACGGTGTGCTTATTTGTACGTCCATGAGTCTTGGGGGCCCGCATTGGATTGTGGTGAGAGTTTGGTTGCGGCGCGCTGACCAAACACTGCTTCATTCTGGCCTCTCTTCCGTGATCCAACAGGGGAGGTGTTCACATACTGCGCACGGTTGCCGTACGAGGAGCTCAACACGGAGAAAGCAATCAAGGCGCACTTGGACGCCGGCAAGCGGCTGGAGCTCCCCGCCGGAGCAAGTGAAAAGGTCACGGCGCTGTTGACAAAATGCCACAACCCCGTTCCCTCCGCTCGTGCTAGCTTTAGCAAACTCATAGCCGCCATCGAAGAGATGGTGGAGGAAGATTCGCTGACCGACATTCGCCCCAACCTTCCGGAATTGATTCTTCCATCACAAGCATGAGCTGAGCAGGTAGTTTGGTTCCTTTTGACTCCAGCCTATTTTTTCTTCATTATGACTGTATTTGTTTTGACAATCAGGTGGTGACGATGCAGTGGTTTTAGTTGTTGTCTTTTGCATATGATTTCTTATTTCATAAATGCAACACTTTTTTTGTTTTTTTCCGATTTCACTCTTCTTTTGCTTTTCCCTCTTTTTGTTCTCCTTCTCCCTCTTCTTCTTCTTCTCCTTTGATTCGACGCCTTACCCTTTCTTTTGCTTTCCTTACTAGCACTTCATAGAGCTTGCGATGACTGCGCGCATTGTTGAAAAGGCGGGCGTTGCGGCTTCGGTGGCTTCGGCGGCTTCGGCGGATGATGCCGGCGTTCGCGCGCGCAAGACTGCTGCTGCTGTTGCTGCTGCTGCTGCCCCTGCCTCGTCAGAACGGGCGTGCAAGGACAGCACGGTCGGCTCGAGCGAGTCGGACGACATGAGCCACCGCTTGAAACGTTTCCAGCACAACGCACCCACGGCCAACCCGAGCCCAGCCGACCTCACCGACGGCTACGGCGCGGCCCTCCACAAGACCGACTTCCACTGGGTTGGCACTGACGAGCCGCATGCCTCACGCCGCAAGCTCATCCTCGCCAAGGTAAACGGCAGTCCGAGTCCAAGCCATCAGTGTTGGAGGGGGTGGGGCGGACGATCTCCACTGCAACGAACAAAAAAAAAAAAAGAAAAAAAAAAAAGAAAGGATAACAGAAACGCACGAGGGCGGCAACGACGGATGACGCGGGCGGTGGAGCGAACACGACAAGCGAGTGGAGGGGGTAGGGATGAGCGAGTGAGACAAGACGAAGAACGAGATGCTAGGGTAGAGGGCGCCCAGTGAGCGAGGTGGAGCCACAGCCAGAACGAATGCGACGAAGCGGTTTGACCAAAAAAAAAAAAACAAGTACAACATCATCGAACGACCACGTCAACACATTTGGCTGTCGACCGAGAACCTGATCACGCTGAAGAGGAAGAGGAAGAGCAAGCACATCAAAAACAAGAAGAGGCAAAAACCGACAGTGTTTTCGTTCACTCGACGACAAGCACGAAATTCACACTTGAAAAAACCTCACACTCGAAACGCTCAAACGAACGCGCCATTTTGGACAACGAAAGGCTTCTTCTTTGTTGTTCAATTCTCTCACTTGTTGGAATACTCTCATTCCTCACTTGTGATTCTCGCAGTATCCCCATATTCGCGACTTGTACGGCTACGACCACAAGACCGTGTGGATCACCCTGGGATTGGTCACCCTCCAACTCACCATGGCCTACCTGCTCCGCAACTCGTCCGTCTGGTTTATCCTGCCGTTCGCCTGGGCCATCTCTGGCTCGTCCAACAGCTGCCTCAACATGGTTGTTCATGGTAAGCAAATTCCGAGCCTTTGTGGATGCTCCTGAACGATAACTATGATGGCTGATTTTTTTTTTTTTGTTTATTCCCGTCAACTAACCCCCCCCCGCTCTCCGCTCTCTCCACTCTCGCCCCTCTCGCTGCTCTGCCATTCGTTGCATTCGTCACAAACAGAGTGCGCCCATGGCCTTGCGCTCAAGTACCGCCCGTACAACGCCGTGCTCGGCATGATTGCCAACATTCCCACCTGCGTCCCGTCCTCAATCACCTTCCGCCGCTACCACCTCGATCACCACACCTCGCAAGGCGTGGATGGCGTCGATGTCGACCTGCCCACCGATTTGGAGGGCAAGTACGTCCGTGGTCGCTTCCTCAAGGCGCTCTGGCTCTTCTTTGTGCCGCTCTTCTACACTCTTCGCCCCATGTTTGTCAAGCCGCGCTCGCCCATCCTTGCCGAGAACATCAACCAGGCCTTTATCATCACCATTGACGTGTTGATTTACCACTTCTGGGGCTGGCGCTCGCTCTTCTACCTGTTTGGCGGTCTTTGGCTCGGCAGCAGCTATCACCCGTCTGCAGCACACTTTATTGCTGAGCATTTCGGTGCGCGCGGCTGACTCTGCGCTTTGGTGTTGTTGTGGTTGTTGTTGTTTTCGGTGTATGTAAGGTTTCTGCTGTCCGGTTTGCTCACATGTGATTGATCTCTACGCTACTACAGAATTTGCTGCTGGCGCCGAGACCTATTCCTACTATGGACCTCTGAACAACATCATGTTGAACGTCGGCTACCACAACGAGCACCACGACTTCCCCTACGTCCCGTGTATGCTTGATTTCTCTGGTGCTTTTGTCTGGTTGTGAATGATCTTGGTTGGGCTCTCACTGTATATCACCTCCTCGAACACCACGCAGGGACTCGCTTGCACAAGATTCGCGAGGCTGCCCCAGAGTTTTACTCGGATCTCCCACAGTGCCGCTCCTGGGTGCGATGCATCTGGGACTTTGTGTTTGACCCCAAGATCACCCTGTACAGTCGTGTCAAGCGCGAAGCCCGTCAAAAACAGCTTTTGGCCGAGTTGGCAGCAAAGTAAAGCCTGGACACGACAGAAAACGTCCTTCTTGAAAATAGGGCGTTGTCAAATTCGTTGTGTGGTTTGTTTTTATAAGTCTTTTTTATGTGTTTGTTGTGTGCATAGTTTGCTGCTCGTGCTCGGCTTTATGAAACAATAGAGAATGATACAGTTTGACAGCGGTGGGTTTTTCGGTGTTTGGTTTTACTTTGTTCTGCAGCGCTGCCTCGGCATCAGCTCCCTCTCACGCTTTTGCGAGGCTGGACGTATGCGTGCCTTACGCACTTTGTTCAAGTCCCAAAACTTTTGAGAGGCCGAGTGCTCGTTGGATGCCCGCTCGTACTTGCTCAGCTCTGACGGGGTTTTCGGAAGGCCGCAGTCACTGCCGGTTCCTACTTGTGTTGCTTTGTCAACAAACTTTCGACCGTTGTCTGGATGTGCAACTACTACATCATCTCCAAGGAAGACTCGTCCTGAAGAAGCAGCCTGCAATTAGCATTGCGGTCCTGATCCACGTACAACAACCAACCCATTCAGCCCTCGCCTCGTCCGCTTGTGCTTTATTTTTAATTTTCGTTTCGTTTTTTTGTACAGTATTGCTTGTGGAATCTGGTTTCTGCTGTACTGCACTGCACTGTGATTGTTGAAGTCACGGCTCATTTCTGATTTGCGTTTTTTCTATTCTTCAATTTTTCTAGTTTTTTTTTTTTTTTTTTTTTTTTTTTTTTTTTTTTGCGGCTTTTGTTGTGTGTGCAATAAATGTCGTCTGGCTACGACGCTGTCTCTGCTTCGGAGGGACTGCAGCAGCACCACTACCAGCACGACGACGAGCTGGACGTGGGTGCGGTGATTACGGCGACGACGTCGCGGGAAGACAAGCGGCGGTCGATGGAGGCGCTCGAGCGCAAGATTCGGCAGCGGCCAGACCGCGACTCGCTGGTGGACCAGGGCATTCTGCGGAGCTACCCGACGACAGTGGCTCCTGCGCTGCATGCCCAGCACGACGCGCTTGTGCGGGCGCAGGTCGAGCAGACGCTTGCTCGCAAGATGAAGTCGCGCCCACGGAAGCAGGAGCTTGTCGAGCATCACATTCTGCCAGACTCGAGTGCCTCGCCCGCGCTCCAGGCCTCACAAGAGTCGCTGCGGCGAGCTCAGGTCACGGCATTCCTCAACGACCGCATCATCAACCGCCCGGGCGCAATGGACCTCCTCGAGGACAACATTATGACGGTCGACCCGCAACCATTTGACTTTCTAGCGCTTCAGCAGCAACAGCAGCACCAACAACAGCAGCAGTCACTGCAGCAGCAACAAGCACTGCAGCAACAGCAAATACTGTTGCAATTCCGCCAGCAGCAGCAGCAACAGCAGCAACAGCAGCAACAGTTCCTTGAACAGAATCTCGCTGCTGCCGCTCCTCCTCTTCATCCTCCTGTTGGTGCTGCTGCTACGGTGGCTCCGTTTGCTGCACCGGCGGCAGTGGGGAGCTCCATGTCCGCACCGTCCTCGGCTGCATCCAGTCGACGAGGCTCAAACACTCCCAGCTCACCCATCAAGCCTCCCAAGGAGCGCAAACTCAAATTCAGGTACCACGAATACCAACCACCCGTTGGCAATCGCGTCGGCCCGCGCTTCTTGACGGCGCCCTCCGCCCCAGAAGATACGGTGACTGTAAACTCTGGCAGTAGCACGCAGCCCGGCGCGCAGTACAACCACCTGCTGCAAAAACAACAAGAGTACCTGCTTGCGCTTCAGCAGCACGAATCGCTCACGCGCATGCCTCAGCCATCCCAGCTGGGTCTACAGGCTCAGCAACCGCCAATATCACCGCGTTACCCAAGCTCGCAACAAGACCCCCTGTCGCTCCTCCAAACCGGCGCATCGCCATCGATTGACGCTCTAGCACAGCAGCTACAGCAGCACCCTCAATCGCAGCAACAGAGCCCGTCCAACATGGACATGTCCGTCGGCAGTGTCGGGTCGGGCAGCAGTGGCAGCACCCCTGCGCCTGGGTTTGACAGCATCGAGGGCCGAGCCTTGCTCGATTCTGCGCGGGTCGATGAACTCAAGGTTGTCGAGCTCAAGAGCGAACTGCGAGCCCTCGGCCTGTCCTACTCTGGCAGCAAGGCCCAGCTGGCAGAGCGTCTCAAGCAGGCCTTGGGCATTTTCCCGCACCAGCTGCAAAATCAGCTCGCACATCATCGCTCCACCGAGTCTCTGACCAGCCTGACTGGCAGCTCGGAAAGCCTCAACGCCATCCCCTCGATGGCTCAGTTCAGTGTTGGCTCGTTGCCCATGCCTCTCGGTGTCATGGGTGGTGCGTTTGCGAGCAACCTGTCCTCGCCGCGCGGCCGCTCTGCGTCGGCGCTTGGCACCGCTGTCAGCACCACGCCGATTTCCAGCAGCGCGCGGTCGCCCCTGATGCTGCGTTCTAAATCTGTCGAGTTTGGCGTTCCCGAGGAGGACCACAACCTCCAAGCGGAAATCGACCAAACGCTGGCCTCTGTCGTTGCGGACCCGAGCCAAGCCTACATCCCGCCGATGACCACCGCCAATGGGAGTGGCAGTCATCACCACTTGAACGGTGTCTACATGGGTAACGCTCAGACGATGGCACAGGTGCAAACCAAGTTCCAACAGCAGATGCACCTGCAGCAGCAGCTTCAGCAACAGCAGCTACATCAACGCCACCAGGCGCCGTTTTCGCACCCCACTCAACAACAGCTGGACCACGGGTCTGATTTTCTCAACGATCACATGGATTCGTCGTTTGCCACCTCGGATGAATTCATTCAAAGTCTCATGCAAGATGGTATGGTTTGAAGCGCGTGAGATGATGTATTTTTTTTTTGGTTTTTTTTTATTCCTTTTTTTTTCTTCCTTTTTTTTGCGTCTAACCGCATCGATGTGATTGCTTCATGTCAGACCCAATGCACTCGGGCTATGTGGATTCGTTCGCGCCATCACCCGGGCTTGTGCTCAACGGTGGCGCGCGTTTGCTCGCGAACGATTCATCTGCACACAACACCTTTTTCAATCCACATGGTGGTTTGCACGGTAAGGCTGTCGCTTGTGTGTGTTTGTATGACAGGTTGGAGAAGACAAACAAGCAAACATGGGCGCTCATCACAATCTCATGTTTCAGATCCCAACGTTGGCTCCTCCCTGCCTGATGAACTTGCTGCCACCTTCCTCATGGGTTCTGGCAACATGAATGATATTCCTGCAGACATTATGGACTTTGCTGCATGATCAGACCTTCTGTACTTTTTTTCTTTTCACTGTTTCTTTGTTTTCTTTGTTTTCTTTGTTTCTTTGCTTTCTTTGTTTCTTTGTTTTTCTTGGGTTTTCTCTTTCGTTCCGACAATTATTTTGTCTCATTCGTTGCTTGTTGCATCCATCATTTTACTCATGATACTCTCCTTGTTCTGATTGACGGTTTTTGGCTTGAGTGTTAGTTTTTGGTCAGTCTATTGGGCGTTTGTGGCCATGCTGTGTTGTTGTTGTGTCTGAAAATGCGTTTGTCAGAAGTACATTAACCAGAAAAGAACCCAAAACTAGAACCAAAACCGACTCTGGGTCTTTGTCCAGCCAGGAACAACATTCGACCTTTGTCAAGTTCAGGCGCGAGCTGCCAGTTGCCGCTCGAGCATTCCTGGAAGTAACCGCTCCATCGTGAGCACGACGAGTTTGGCCTGAGGATCAAACTCGAGATTAACAATGTCGCCTTCGTTCTTGAAGCCGAGGGTGGTGCGCGCAAGGGTTTCTGGGATGAGCGAGACCGAGAGCAGTCCTGGCGCGACGTGCACAATCGTCAAGCTGATGCCGTCGACGGCAATCCATCCCTTCGGCACAACAAACTTGCTCCATTCCTGCGAGCGAACGACAAGCATCGCATTTGTTTTTTTTTTTTTTTTTTTTGTGACAAGCAGCAATGTTTCAACGTGGCATGTGTGAGTGACTAAAAGAAGCTCAGAATCTCCGCAGCCAAAACCAAAACCAAAGCCAAAGCCAAAGCCAAAACCAAAACCAAAACTGCGCCCACCCCCACCCCCTCCTCCGCCCTTCCCCGACCACACACGCACCTCGAAAAATCGAAAGTAGACATCGCGATTGCCTTCCGTGGCGACGACGCGCTCGATCGTGCCCGTCGCATCGACGTGGCCAAAGACTTGATGACCGCCAATCTCGTCGCCAAACTTCATTGCGCGCTCCATGTTGACGCGCGATCCGGCCTGGAGCGAGCCGAGGTTGGTGCGGCTGAGCGACTCCTGGATGACGTCAAAGTCCACAATGCGTGTGGCGGCGTCAAAGTGCACGACGGTCAGGCACGTCCCGTTGATGGCAATGCTGGCGCCAAGCTCAATCCCAGCAGACGCATCGCCCGCTGGCAGCTCGACCTGCAGGCGCAGAATTCCGCCCTGACGCGACAAGCCAAACGCAAGTGAGACAGGACGAGCGACGCAGCACAGCAGCCAAAATGCAGTGCCCACACACACACACACACACACACAGTTGTGTGATTGCGCTTTCAGGATGGAAAAGCGGAGGTTTCTCATCAATACGGCGCTTTCTGATCAATACGGAGCAGTGGTCACGCTCGTCGCACTCACGCTGGCATCGATTCACTCGTGATGACGAAAGTGAAACAAAGGGGATCGAATCGGGGAGAGAACGAGGGGATTGTTGCTCAGAGCAGAAGAGGATTGTTGCTCAGACCAGATCAGAGAAGGGGTGCTGCTCACCGTTAACAGCGCACTGCGAATGGGACACAGCCCGCGAACAATGCCAGTGAACATTTTTTTTCAAATCTGCTGAAAAAGAAAGACTGCGAAACGAAGAAAAAAAAAGGTTTGCTCTGATGTGTGTGATTTCATACAATCCGAGACCAAGAGACCAAGAATAACGGGGCAGAGCGCATCAACCATAAACAAAAGCCTCGCGCTCTTCACCGCCACAAAAAGTCATCGAAATAAAACGAAATTCTCTACTGGAACAGAGCTTGGAGCGAGCCCGAAACCTTGGACTGCCAGGCAGTCAGCGCGGTCAGCTTGACAATGGCACCCTTCTGCTGAGCACGGAGCGCGCCAAAGACGGCAAGGTCGGCGATGGTGATGCGGCCATCAACGAGGTTGCCAGACTTGACGGGCTCGACGGCAGCGTTGAGCTCGAGGAGGGCGGCAGCAGCAGACTCCTTGCCGGCGTGCGCCGTGGCGCGGGCAGCAAGGGCCAGGAAGGTATCAATCTGGATGGCAGCGATAGGGTCGGACTCGGGGTAGAGCGTGGGCAGGAACTGACGGGCCAGGTAGCGGAGAATGTTGGCGTCGCCGTAGACGATCGTCTGAGTGCGCGGCGAGACGATGAGCAGCGGGTGCATGGGGCCGCAAGCCGCGTGGGGCTGCGACTGCTGGCTGCGACCAGTCTCCGACCAGATAAAGTGGAACTTGGTGGGCGAGCTCTCCTTCGAGCTTGCAGCCAGCAGGGGGCAGCGGGCTAACTGCGGTTGCCGGCAGGCAATCGACGGAGTGAGTGGTGCACAGGTGAGCTGAGCGCCAGAGCTCGATCCCGAAAGATCAGGAGCCCAACGCTGCGAGCGAGGCGTGCGGCTGCCGCGCGAAGGGAACGCGGGAGAATGACAACGCGGGGTGGTTCCTGGGGAGTCTTGTTGGGTGACACAAAGGGGGGGTAGTTTGGTTCAACTGGTCCTGTGTTTTCTTTCGTTTTC